GCAGCTAAATTGTCTTGAAATAAATCCCACTTAGATCCACAAAAAAAAAGTGTCAGTTGTTCGACAAGAGGAGGAGTTGCAATGCTACATATGTTTAGTATACTTAACTGAGTAAATAATGATTTATATTTGATCAATGCAAAGAGTTGTAGACTGCAACATTTAAGGTCCAGGAATATGTGCTGAGGGATGTACTAAACCTTGAGGGAGCTGTTGCAAAAGCTCAAGTGGAAAAGCTACAAATACTCTAAGACCCTCCCATGATAGCACCTACCCAAGCAGTTGACATCCTCAGCATGAACCAAAGAATATTTGACATTAAAGATCTATTATAAGTATAGGCTGCAATTCTAACCTTAGTGAGCCATCTCTGACTGTTACATACTGATAAAAAGATCTAAATTGCATTTAACATAATCTCAATTTTGAACTGTTATGAACAACAAAGAATCATCCTCAGCACAAAAGATTGCCAATAGAGTGTGAGAGAATTGTGTGTATCTTACAAATTATGTGAATAAATATATTCTTTGAAATGCTTGATTCAGCTGTTTGACCTACTTAAAAACTAGTCAACTGATTGAAGAAACATTTTGTTTATGTCAATCTCTGAACAATAATTACATAACATCCTCTAAGGCAAAGAATATACTTTTACACACCTAGAAGATAAAGAAGTATTCAGCAATCAACTTCTGTTCTAGTTTGTTCATATTCAGTTAAACGCATCCATATCAAGGAATGACTTGTATTGCACAGAGTCTTAAGACAGCATCACAGTTGCATTACATATATTTGCTCACCTGGTTTCATTTCATGAGGTTTAACAACCTTTATGTCCACTTTTACATTGACTATCTCAGCAGTACTAGTGATAAACAAATAGATAAATCATTTTTTCAATCAAAAACAAAAATAACTTTGTTTTTTATTATTATTAATGAAGTGATAGATCTTTGATTCTGGATTTTTTTTATTTGGATATATTGAGTCGTAATGCAATCAAACTGAGATAACATTAAAATTACATAAATAATATTACATAATCGTTTACATTTTAAAACTTCCTTTCATTTTATATTTATATGAAACAATCATAATTTGTTCTGCAATATTGCTTTGTTGTTTTACTTCTCTTTTGAGAACACATCTTAGTCACCAATGCTGAACTTGCCAAAATGCACTGACAATCTGAAAATAAAGTGCAAACAAAGTGAAGGAAAAAGTGACATTGCTTTGATATGTGTTATATTCCAAAATCTTAGAGCAGCTCTTAAACTATTCAATGTAGAAATAAGTAGCTCAAACAAGGCAATGTAACAACTCCAGTTTTTATATACAATATCGATCCAGAACAAGATAAATAGCATGATTAAAACTCAAATTTGATCAGAAAATAATACTGAATCATTGAGTTAAAATGCTAAGCAATTAAAGGCTGTAGTTTAACTTATTAATTTTAAGTTCCCTTTAGTTTAGCCAGAATTAGAGTTGAGTATTTTGCTTCAACCAAATGCAGTGAAATAGATCAGTTCATTCACATAAGAGCCAACAATGATGCTGGGATGGAGGGTTTATAAAGAAAGATTGAACAAGTTAGGCCTATACTTATTGGACTAATCTTATTAGAATAACAAGAGATGATCTTATTGAAGCATATTAAATCTTGAGGAAGTTGGATAGGGTTAACGTTTCTTCATGTGGGAAGACTAGAACTAGAGAACAGATTAAGAGTAAGACGCCCCCCTTTTAAACTAGAGATGAGGATAAGTTTATGGTCTCAAAAAATCATTAGTATGTGGAATTCTCTTCTCTGGAAAGCAGTTGAGGTGGGTTCACTGATATTGTTCAGAGATGAGTTACATGAATTGCGATAGTTAAGGGATATTGGGGGAGGGGGTGCAGACAGCAAAGTGGAGTTAAAACCACAACAAGATCAGCCAAGATCTTATTAAATGGTGGAGCAGACTTGAAGGGCACAATGGCTTCCCCCTGCTCCTAAGAACAGTCACGATTGCCAAAGGAACCTGAAAATACTATCAAGGTATTTAAAACTCCAGGCCTTTGATTGTTGATAAAAAAAAACTGGTGAGTTATTGAAAAAAAAAATTTCCATTTCAATCTCTCTGTTGACAATGATTCAGGATTTTCAATGCGAGGTTAATGCAGCATGATGGAATTCATAAGAAGCTATTATCACAGTGGGGTGCTTTCCATTTCACCCTTTCATTGACAGCTACAAGTAGCTTTGGACTTTTTGATATCTGACTGTGAACTCCAATACTGTTGAACTTGAATGAATAGTTTTTATAAGGCTTTGTTGAGTTAAAAGAATGTTAGTGCAGTAAATATGCTTTTAACAAATGAGTGTTTCTTCAGTAAAAAATCTGCAATATACTTATTTAATATGACTAACAGTGATGCATCATCTGTGAATTTTCCCAGATGTCTGCCCATGGTGAATTCTAACAAAGTTTACATGGAGGTGAAACAGTAGTAGATAGTGGCATGAATTGGCATAGGGGCTACAAAAGGTTCGGGTTCAGCAAAATACCATAGATTGATATGGAAGGGGTGGGGCAGCATGACGATTGGGTATAGGGCATTAGCTGGCGTCGAGGCTGTTGGGAAGGATAGAGGAACATGGAGTAACAAAGTGGGTATGAGGTAGCGTGGAGTTGGGTAGCTGGGCATTGGGTGGCATAGCAGGTATCAGATGGCGTGGCTTACTATGAATGGCATTGCAGAGAATTTGTAAGCAGGACGGGGCTATGAAATATGAGAAGTGGAGAGCTGTTTATCATGTTATTCATTTCTAAAATACCCAGTCTGCAAATCAGCTAGCAGCCTTTGCTTTCATTCTGTAGTCAACCAGTCCAATGCTTGGTGTTTAAACTCTAGAACAAATATATCTGAAGTGGTTAAAAGTGTAAGCTTTAAAAATTACCAGTAACTATTTCTATTGAATATCTTCATAGATCTGACAAAGTTTTATTGCTCTGATTTCAATTGTTTCTTGGTCAATAATTATTTTATCCCAATCCATAACACAAAATCAGAATTGCAAAAAAACCTGTATGTCTGATATCTATCAGTAAATACGTTGTTTTCTTAAGAGCGTTATTAAAATATTGTACATCTAAATGCAGCACTTTCATAATACAGGTATTGTATCCTCTTATAATTTAGCTATGCAGACCATGATTGCTAATTCAATCCAGCTAACTAGCCTAAAAACGGTCCTTCATACAATAAATATGACAAGAAATTTTAATCATAGATGTTCATTTCATGTGCACAGCTGTCAACAGTTGACAAAAATTTGTTAAATGGCCATCTAGCCTAAGTAACTGTCCACACCTGCTACATCTCCACAACTGTACTGCACAGCAGAAAAATTTGAATTCAAGAAGTTTTGTACGTAACACAGACAGGCACAAGCAGTAACATTAAAGTCAATACTCGTGATGATGGGTGGAATGGCAAATATGGCATAGCACAGTCCACAAATGAAACTAAACCAACAATATATAAAACATGAGCAGCAATCTCAATACACAATACAGATATACAGAATTAACTATTTAAATGCCTTTGCATTTTTAAAAAATATTATTTTTTACAGATACACAAACAGATTTTCAACATTTTGATGCAAATATTAATACAAATATAAATATTGTGTTAATTAACATTTCTGAAAAAAAAATTATATTCCAAAGTATTATATCACACATAAGTGTCACAATTTTTCACGGAGACTGTATATCAAATCATGGCATGATAATTATACTTTTCAAATATAAATTATCATAAATTATTATGAACACCATGGTGGGTGTGCTGATGTACAGCATGAATTGAGTGGGTAAAAAAAATCCCAGGAACACAAATAAGGAAACCAAGAAGGAAGCCTTCCTCTCTGCCCTGGTTGAGCATAAATTGTGAACATGTTCATAATTGGTTTATTCATGATTTCACGACAATCTTTTACAATTTTGTATCTGATTTTTAAAGAAAGCACCACTTGCATTTTTTTCTTTAATATCCTTTGCAATTTTAACTTTTGAAAAAAAATTAAAGCATATGTTCCAAAGTGACATTTTAAGATGTAATTATCAAAGCAAGTTGTCTAAGTAAAATCATTTATTCATAACTGTTTAACCTATTCAGGTAGTCTTTCCAGTAGCTAAAATGAATGAACACAGTAGCCCAAATGTCTTCATGTATTTTTAAAAATGATAAAATGGTTTTCCAAATGGCTCCAGTAAAAATATATGCATGTGGCTTAGTATGGGAATCAAAGTAGATCACCCACAGAAACAAAAGTATTGTTTCGAAGTAACTTGCAGTAATATTAGATAAATACTTACTAAATTCATTGGACATTTCTTTGTTCTATCAAGCTCGCAAGTAAGTAATTACAACAAGGTTACAGTCCCATAATATTATAATATGCAAATTTCACATGTAAGGGGAGGGGATGATATTAAAAAATGCAGTTTTATTCAGCTTTTCACTCTATCTCAACATGGCAAAATACTTTTAGTGGAATACCAAATTTAAGCTCATAAATAATTGGAAAAGCTACATTCTTCATTTAAGGCCCTGTGTAACTGCCTTTTAAACATATGTGCTACAAAATACATCACATTTTTCTTAGACAAGTCACCTGTCATTAAATTAATCCATTATTTGTTCAATGATTCAAAACCAAACATAATTTAAATGCATCCAAATATAATTTAAATGTATCTATTCGTACAGTAGTGTTTCCACAACTTTTATTAGAAAAGTAGTCATGTTTCATTACATTACAAATGCCAATCATCACAATAAAATCCAATATATTTCCACATAACAGATCACTGAATTTCATAAATGGAAATATAATCCAAATATTCTATCACAGACTTTGAGGTAAATCAAGCAATGTCTGGAACTCCACATACTTACTGACAACTACAATGTAATTTGTTTTAATCAATATTCTTGCCCATCTTACACTAATTTACCAATGTAAAAGAAACAGAAATTATGAACAAAGCACAATTCTCAGTACTTCAGGAGAAGTTTCTTGTTGTTTCTACAAGATTACATTACACTTAAATTTATAGGAATGTCATGTCGAAGTATCATCTGCACTTTTGAACATAAGAATTGAGTTATAAATCTTTAATGCTGGACCAAGTTTAATGCTCATGATCTTCACGATATCCACTTGTGTTAGAAGGAGAAAAGCCTCCCCATCAATTGACTGCAAGATAAAAATGTAGGAGTCCATCAACACAGTTCAAGGTACAGAAATGAAAATGGCATTTCACATGACTGATTTCTGAGAAATATCCCGAAGAATAAGTTTGAAAAAAATATTCTGTTTTCGCTGCTTAAAGAAAACAATCATCTTGAAATTGTGCAATGGGGTATTAATACAGTTATTAACTAGAGTGAATTTTATTAGCTACAATGAATTAGCATGAGAATAACTGATCCAACATATACCACTTAGACAGGAAAACACTCTGGTTAGCTGCTTTCAGGATTAATCTGCCAATGACTTTGTGTGGGCAGGATAATACAGTTGCTTGGAATTGTACTAAGGTTTAAGAAGCAGAAAGAGGAATTTCAGCCAAGCATATTAAGTCTGTACAGGCTCGTATATTATGGCACAATCTCAGAGTCGTAATAAAACAACACAATATAATACAAAAACTATTAGGGGTATGAGGTAACTTGATCCTACCTCTTCTTTGAAGAGCTTTGCCTGTTGCTCACAGCCAGTGAGTGTCTGGACAAAGTTTCCCACCTATAATAAATAAATAACATTATTGTAGCAACAAGAATATATTAAATGACAAAATATGCACTATTGGTTCCTTTCATCTACTATAATAGGCATTTTCTCAGTTAACAAAAATACAGAAATTATTGGAACTATTTAACTGAGGAAAGATTGAAAATGTTTAGTGAGATTAGCAATCTCCAAATGTTCTTTAAATTTGTACGTATTTGATCTGTTTGAAGTTTATAAGGTCCTAAATTGTTTGGACAAGGTGGACATGGAAAGGATGTTTCCTCTTGTAGTGAGGCAAGAATTAGGGGACATTTATTATCTAGTTACATTACCTTAAAGATTAACGATTACGTCTTGTGAGATATCAGGCTCAATACTAGAGTGAATTTTATTAGCTACAATGAATTAGCATGAGAATAACTGATCCAACATATACCACATAGACAGGAAAACACTCTGGTTAGCTGCTTTCAGGATTAATCTGCCAATGACTTTGTGTGGGCATCCTTCCCCACTTGGTTACAGTAGCTGAGATAAATACCAAGAAGGAGGATTGGTGACAGCACATCTATCCGAGGCATCTCAGATGGTTTAGCCACACCATTTTGCAGATGAGACCGTTGCGAGCCTTTTGCCCAATTATATATTTCTTAAATTCATTCATGGGATGAGGGTGCCACTGGCTAGCCCAACATTCATTGCACATCCCTAATTGCCCAGAGGGCAGTTAAGGGTCAACCATATTGCTATGGGTCTGGAGTCATACGTAGGCCAGACCAGGCAAAGACAGCAGTTTCCTTCCCTAAAGGAAAAACCACATCGGTTTTTCCAACAAGTGATAATGGATTTATGGTTACCATTAGCCCATTTTTGTTATTTAATTCAAATTCCACCATCTGCCACTGTGGGATTCCAACCCAGATCCAGAACATTACCTGGGTATCTGGATTAACTGTCCTGCAATAGTACTGCTAGGCCATCACCTCCCATAACAGTGAATGTTACAGTGCTGCTTCCCGCTCAATGCACAGATTTCTTCCATCTTTGCTGTCCTTCCCATGAAGGTGAGGACTGCAATATGTCTTCACATACACCAACAACCATTCAGTGCTTTTTGTTTAATTTCATCATGGAATGTGGGTATCATTGGCTGAGCAAGCATTTATGTCCATCCTTAATTATGCTGGAGACGATGTTGGTGAGTCATATGTGTGTGTGTGTCTGTGTGTGTGTGTGTCTGTGTGCATCTATGTGTGTGTGTGTCTGTGTGCATCTATGTGTGTGTGTGTGTCTGTGTGCATCTATGTGTGTGTGTGTGTGTGTGTGTGTCTGTGTGTGTTCAAACTACTTTCCTTTAATGCTTGTACATTGTCTAGTATTGAAAATGAGAACATAGAATGTCTTATTCTTCATGGATTTTCTCATCTGTTTCAGCACTAGATTACACAGTTTTATCAATAAACCACCAGATTGACTGAATGTTTTGTTTTAAAATAAATATTTGCTCATAATCAAGTTATATCAGGCAAATAATGTCAAATTAATTACAGAACAATCTGGAACAAGTAGTCATATATAGTGCCAAATAAGTTTAATCAAAAGCCAAGCAAAACAATGTTTGCAGGACTAAAAATGTTTGCAGCACTAAAAATGTTTTGTACATTTTGGAAACAAATCTACATTTAGACAATGACAGACTGCCGAGATTCTCTTTTCCAATTTTAGTTCCGGTCATAGTTTGCTCTCAGCGAAACAGACTGTAAATAAATTGACAGTATGGTCATGCAGCTTTACTTCAGAACATTCCCAGCATTCAAAAGGACTTAAAAAATACATTAATAAACTGCTGCATTTCCACCACTTTTCCTCCTCTTCTTACCTCTTCAATAGTCCATTTGGCCACTCTGCTGGCACTAATACCAGCTACGCCTGGAAGCAGCTTACAATGTTGTTCCCAGCATAAGGACAATGAACGAGCTGGATGTGGGGACATGGCAGACATAAAGACTGATTGATGCAAGTCTTGGTGCATACCATCTTTTGGAATGTCTAGAAATATAGCGTTAGAAAAACACTAAGGCTGTAATGATACATTTTAATTCTCTAAAATATCTTTAAAATGTATTTGCTTATTTCAAGGTTAATTTTGTTATTTTTTAAAACAAATTATGTAACTTCTATAACTGACCATTAATTAAACAATTGGTGTGTGGTATTTAAAAATAAAGGTGTGTACAGAATCAATCAGTCCATATAGTGAAAAAGCCCTATAACAGCCTTCTGACACCATTCCTCATCTCATTCTATCAGTAGGAACCCAAAGGTTGCCCATCTTAACTTCCCTTAAAATGCATCCATTCTGTTCATATGGCCTACTCCTTTGGAAGCTCTTTGGAATCATGAAGAGAACTGTCATATGGAGCAGTCAAAAGTATTGAAAGGACCTGACTGAGGGGAGTACCAAAAGTATCAACAGGAACTGTCAAAACACTGTGGAAAGTGTCATGAATTTATTAAATGCCATATGACCATAAGACAGAGGAGAAGAAATAGGCCATTTGGTCCGTTGAGTCTGTTCTGCCACTCAATAATATCATGGCTGATCTCAATCCTCAATTCCACTTTCCTGTCTTATTCCCATAACCCTTAATTTCCTTAAGGATTAAAAGGCAACTTCAGCCTTGAATAAACTTAACACTCAACCTTGACATCTCTCTGTAGTAAAGAATTCCCCAGATTCACGACTCCCACAGATAAAAAAAAAACCTCCTTCTCACCCTTATATTGTGCCTTATAGTCCTAGACTCTTCTGTTAGGGGGAACAGCCCCAAAGAATCTTATATTTTTCAATAAGAACTACATCTGTAGCTATTTCCTTTAATTCGTGTAAACTTTAATGAGTACAAAACCAATACACTCATTCTTTCCTCATAAGAAAATCTCTCTACTCCAAGATCAGCCAAGTGAGCCTTTCTGGACTGCATCTAATACCAGAGATAGCAAGAACTGCAGATGCTGGAGACAGAGACAACACAGTGTGGAGCTGTAGGAACACAGCAGGCCACGCAGCATCAGAGGAGCAGGAAAGCTGATGTTTCGGGTCAGGACCTTCTCCAGCTCCATACTGTGATGTCTCTGCATCTAATACCAGTATATCTTTCATTGGATAAAGACCTAAAACTGGTCATAGTATTCTAGGTGTGATCTGACTAGTGCCTTGTCTGGTTTTAGTAAAACCTCCCTATTTTTATACTCTGTTCATATTGAAATAGAGGCCAACATTCCGTTTTCATTCCTTATTATCAACCGAACTCGGATGCTAGTTTTTTTTGTGATTCATGCACAAAGACCCACAAATTACTCAGTGCTGCAGCTTTCTGCAGTCTTTCCCCATGTAAATAAAATCCAGCGCCTCTATTATTTCTGCCAGTTTTTTCCACATTATATTCCATTTGCCAAGTTTCACCCGCTTTTGTAGCCTGTCTTTACCCCTCTGTGCTGTTTGTGTAATCCCTACCACTTGACTTCCCACGTATTTTTGTGTCATCTGTAAACTTGGTGATAGTACATTCACTTCCCTCATCCACATCATTAAGACATGAATTGTAAATAATTGTGGCAACAGCACTGATCCCTGTTTCTGAAAATCACCCCTTTATTCCAACTTACTGGTGTTGTATTAGGTAGTCAATATTCTATACGTGCTCATATACTATGCCTAACACCATGGGCTCTTATTGTATTAATTAACCCTATGTGCAATACATTACTGCATAACTTTTGGAAATCCAAGTATATTACATCAACTGGTCCCCCTTTATCTATTCTGCCTGCTACTTCCTCTAAGAACTCTATTTTTTTTTCAGATATGACTTCTCCTTCATGAAGTAATGCTGATTTTACTTGATAATGTATTTCTAAATGCTCTACTATTATATCATTTTAATAGACTCTAAAATTTTGCAAATGACAGATGTTAAGCCAAATGACCTGTCTTTTTGTCTCCCTCCCTTTTTGAATAAGGGTGTTAAAGTGGCAGTTGTCTAATTCTGTGGGACTTTTCCAGAATCTATGGATTGTTGCAATATTACTCCAGTAAATGAATTATATCTGTAGCTATTTCCTTTAAAATCTCAGGATGCAATCCATTAGATCCAGATTACTTATTGGCCTTTGGCTCCATTCACATTCCTAATACTTTTTCTAGATAACTGATAGTTATCGCAGTTGATTCTGCTCTCTGTCCCTTCCTTATAGCCCCTTGATTATTTAATACATTTGGAATGCTACTACCACAATGAGGACTGATCCAAAGTATTTACACAACTCCACTGCCATTTCCTGGTTCCCCATTATTATTTCCCAGCCTCATTTTCAAATGCCCTCTTTGGCCCCTCTCTTTCTTTTCAGATATTTAAAGAAGCTCTTACTTTCCATTTTCATGCTACCTGATACTTTGCCCTCAGAGCTCATTTTCTCCCTTTTTTGTTATTCTTTTGGCCATTTTTGTTGGCTTTTTAAACTTTCCCAATCCTCTGGCTTACCACTAATTTTTGCCACTTTGTACTTTTTCTCTTTCAAGTTGATACTATCTTTGACTTCCTTGGTTAAGTGTAGATGAATATTCGGAGAGTGGAACCCATTCCTGGCTTTTGATATGAACAGAAAACACAGTCAATGATGCCTTGCACCTGGGGAAACTAGCAATGCAGCAACCTGACAGTTCAGTCCTTCTGATCACCAAGCTGCATTTGAAAGGTAATGATGTGTTGCTGGCTCTTTGCAAAAACTGAATTGCCATCTGCTTGATGGTCATATGGATAACAAACTTAACTGGTTTCATTGATGTCACCTGTTACAACCTGGAAGAAATCACATAAAAGGCTGAACTTAATGGAAGTGGCCTTACCTATCTCCTGCAAAGCTGGAACAACCCTAATGTGTCAGAGATAGTAGGAACTGCAGATGCTGGAGAATCTGAGATAACAAGGTGTAGAGCTGGATGAACATAGCAGGCCAAGCAGCATCATAGGAGGATTTTCTAAGAAGGGTCTAGCCTGAAACGTCAGCTTTCCTGCTCCTCTGATGCTGCTTGGCCTGCTGTGTTCATCCAGCTCTACACCTTGTTATCACAACCCTAATGTGGCTATTTTCAGAAGACCCAACAGAACTCCATGACAATTGTGCAGCTTTTTGCCTACTGTCATATTAACTTTGTCTTTCAATGTTGATGTCCTGCCTCACAGAATGTCAATAACTCTTCAGTCTCAGTCTCCCCTCACTTCCATAGCCTACACTCGAGAAGGGAATTAAATCCAGCCCAAGGACTGCCTTAAAGTGTGCTGTGGCTGTCACATTTGTCATGTGGAATTTGTGATTAGAATGCCAATTTTGTCCCTGAAAACTGTGTAAAATGGAGATGAACTTCTACCTCCAATGTGGGCACCAGGTATGAGGCAAGAGTAATGATCAGCATGTTAAACAGCCTTCCAGCACAGTTAAGACAGATACTCAGACTGTTTAACATTTGCACCATTGGTACGCTTGGAACCATATCCTAGCATCAGTCTTTGCCTTAAAGAAAGAGGATGAAAACACGTCAAAATGGCAAAACAAATTTAAAAATTCAGAACAGTTTTGGCTGCTGAGTAAAGATAATAGTTAAAGGTTGTTTATACACATTCTTTAGCTGAATTATTGAAGCAATTTACAGAAGCTGAGCTCCATTTGTTCCATTTCATTTCGCAAAAGACTCAAAAGTAGAAGTGAAGTTTACTTACAGAGAAGAAGAAAAGAAACTTCTAAAAGTGTAATTATAGAGTTCAGAAGCTATTGGGTTCAGAATGATCAACTTCACTTACAAATATTTTATGCTTTCAGAATGCCTTACTGTGTATGCTTTTTTTGTTTTAAATGGATGAATGCCTGTGTACCAATAACAGAGTGAAATGCAGTATAAGAACATTAACTGTTTGTTTAGTAACTTTTGCTGATTGAATTTCACCCCTTATAAGCAGACTTTTGCTGAAGTTTCAAGCAGGAAAAATGGATTTTTTTACTAAAGCAAAGATTAAATATATGAAGCATCCATGGCTGCCAGAAATAACTCATCTTGCAAAGAGACCTGCATGTTCACTCACTCTGAAAGCTGACTTTTAATTCCTCTTGTTGAATCTTATGATACTTAGGTGGACGACCAATCCTGGAAAAAAAAATGAAAAAGTAGATATCTAAAGACAGATATTAAGCTGTTGTTCAAATTTACCCTGCTTCGACATCTAGTGCACTTCAGATCAATTTTTTTTATCAGCCTTTTGCATGTACTTCTGTGTGTCACTGCAGAGTAATTGGGGAAAGTAGACAAAATCCTCGTCATTAGCTGAAAGAAATTATCTGAAGTCATACTACCACAAGGTGAGTCACAAAAATCAGAACTATCAAAAAATCAGTGCTTACCAAAACAAAATACAGAAAAAGATCACAGTACAGTGTACAGTTTCCCTTTGGCACTCAAGTGCTACAATGTGCTGCTTGCCAGTATGGATGTTTTTAGTTCTTGTGATGTTAAATATGTCTATAAAGTAAGACCAAATTTACATATCTGGCATTTTTTTCCAGCTCATTATTGGCAAGAATTTGACGTGGTACTCTCGAGTAAATTGCTGTTTTTTTTCCCTCAATAACTTTATTGTTATGATACACTTTAATGTTTGTTATGTTATTCCTGAGTTTGACTATGTTCCTGTGCAGAATATGTTTACCTTTAGTATAGTGCTATGCCAAAATGCATCAGTGTTCAAAAGGCATGTGTTGGCGATCTGTATCTGTACAACAAATAGTGTAATGCAGACCAAAAATTACACAGAGATCAGATATGAGAAATTTCTCCTTATAGTTCAAACATTTAATAATGTGAAGATCTTTCCTAAAGTATAAAAATAAAATGTCTGAACAATATAACTTTGCCTTTTCTTGAAGGTATCTGACACTGAGATAAGTATATCTGAGCATTCCTAGTAAACACTTCTACTGAATTACTAAACCTTTAATTCAAATTATTAAACAAAGAAATTATCATGGATGTATTTAAACTATTGCTGCACATTGGAATTTGAGGACAACTTTACCTAGTATTTTGTTAGGAAGAAACATTCTCATGCATTTTATTGCTCATCATTGCAAAACTAAACTATATTGTCATTCAAAAACTAGTGGTGAAACAGTACGAACAGTAGTGTCTCATAATATGATTGGTCATAAGTTTAAGAATAAGATCTTTCATTATGTCACTTGGAAACATTTCAAATTCCGAATTAGCACGGGAGTTACCAAAGAATAGCTGGGAACCAGCCAACAGCTAGTAGAAGTCACTTTTGCAAACTGCCTAACAGCTGCTGGATACTTTCTAGCTGTCCTAGCTAAGAAATTGTGATGGCCTTAAAAAGAAAAATTCGGAAAAATAAAAAATGTGGGAGTGAAGAAGTTATCTAACCATTATAAACACCAATCAATAATCAAACTACTTTGCCGTGGTTTGATGTTTATTTTAATCAAACATTATGGCATTTACCATTATTACCTCCCATGATGTCTTGATTTCTTTCTTCGACCAAAGGACAATAGATTTCTTTTTCTGGAAGATCCTTCTGCATCTGACATCTCTATCTTCATCCGTGCTTGGTTCCGTTCAGCTAATGGGCAGCCTGATAGACGATGATGAGCAGTGAACTTCCCAGTAACATGCCCCGAGCCATCACAACCAGGAGTTGGGCACTTCCTGAGACAATAATGTGCACAAAACAGATTCACTCAATACATTGCAGAAATCTACTGCAGTAAGTCTTAGCATAGGTAACATTGATGAAAATCAAAATTCAAGAAGGCTGTTAGTATGAACATGAAAATCTAATGTATCTCTTTCACTGAAATTCAGGTGAATTTTGTCCTTCAGAATGTTCATGATGTATCAGTGTTTTGACATTATTAACAATAACCACGGAAATCTGCAATTAAGTTGAATATAAATGAATATACATTGTAATTGTAAATTCAATACATAAAAGCTTCCATTTGTACCTTTGGCATCTCCAGATTGATTATTTCAATGGACACAAGGCTGGTGTCCCATAGTTTCCCCTTCATAAAGCTGTGGTCACCTAAAACACCTGTCCTGACTTGCATCAAGTCCCATTCACCTAATGCCCTGTGCCCAATATAAATTGTGAGCCTCAGTGGATAGTTCACTAGAGATTTAGATATCTATGAAATTCTATCACAATTTTGCAAGTACTTCATGAAGATGTGACTGCAAGTGTTTTGAGTAGCTATTAAAGTCTACCATCATAACCACTCCGTCTTGTTTACGCCTCTTTGCAACGTCCTTCATCTACATCCTTCCCACTACTGGGCAGTCCATAGATTACACTGAGTAATGTAATTGAACACTTACCTTTTGCTTAAGCCAAATCAATTCTTAGAAAATGGCTACCGGAGTGAAGTCCTAATTAAATACCCAGAATTTTTTCAGGAAGGTTTAAGGACTAATAAAGGAACAAAGGCCACCTTGCATATTGACCAGGATTTTGCAAGGCCTATCCAGTGCCATTTGCCTTACATGCAAAAGTACAGGCAGAAATCAGGAGGCTGGAAAGGAAAGGAATCATCAAACCAGTACAGTTTGCAGAATAAGCAGCGCTGGTCATACCAATTGTGAAGCCCGAAGGGTCAGTTCGTCGTTGTGGGTATTTTAAACAGGCAGTAAACCATTTCACTCAGCTGGATAAGTACCCAATCCCTCGCACAGAGGACTCATACACAAAACTGGTAGGAATACTGTCCTTCACGAAGCTGGACATGAGCCATGTGTACCTGCAATTGCGATTAGATGAGGATTCCCAAAGTACGCTACAACTAATACCCAAAAAGGGTTAGTACCAATAAAACAGACTACCTCTTGGGCTAACATCAGCCTGTGCCATTTTTCAGCAAACCGCAGAGAACATTTTACAAGGTCTACCCCAGTTCGCCATTTATCTGGATGACATGCTAATAACAGGGAAGATCAATAAAGGGCACTTAGACGTTTCTCCAAAGCGAGCGTATGCCTTAGAAGGAAAAAATGTGTTCCAGGCACACCAAGTGGCCTACTTGGGCTATAGAGATGACAAGACCACGTTACACCTATTAGAAGATAAAGTGAGAGCAATCAAAGGTGCCCTGGTTCCCGTGTCTGTATTTAGATTGACGAACTATTACGGAAAGTTCATATGTAACCTGGCCTTCATTCTGGCTCCCTTACATCTGCTATTGAAAAAGGGTCAGCCTTGGAAACGGTCTCGTAACCAAGACATAGCCTTTAGGGAAGTGACAAAGCAGCTATCACCATCTAAGGTGTTAGCACAGTATGATCCCAAGCAAGGTCTGGTGCTAACATGTGATGCCTTCCCATATGGTATCAGAATACTGCTGGATCACAGATGGCCTAATGGGGAGGAATGCCCAATAGCATATGCTTCCTGAATTTTGACTGATGCAGAGCACAAACAGAGAAGGAAAGTTTGGCGGTCATCTTTGGTGTGAGAAAGTTCCACCAATACCTTTACAGATGTAAATTTATAATAGTAACACTACAAACCCCTCCTAAGGCTACTCACAGAGGACAAGGCTGTGCTGTCCATAGCTTCAGGTTGAGGTCAGCGGTGGGCTCTCATTCTAAGTGCGTACAATCACAACTTCGAACATTGTCCAGGTGGCCAAGTAGCAAATGTAGATACCTCCAGCTGCCTCCCACTGGCACTCCCACCATCAGCGGTGCCACCACTGGAAGAGTCCGTTGTGGTTTTAAACTTTCTGGACACCGTTTCAGTCACCGCTGACAATAGTGAGCAGTGGACACAAAAAGATCCCGTCCTGGCAAAACTAAAACAGCTGATGACAATGGGGGAAATGAAAGGGCCATCACTACCAGAATTGAAACCTTTCTGGACCCGGCGAGACCAGATCACCATAGAGGAAGGCATTTTATTATGGGGAGCAAGAGTCATTGTCCCAAACAAAGGTGGCTGCCAGATACTGGCAGAGTCAGAGGAACTGAACGCAGTGTGCAAATGCCCTAAGAGAAAGAACAGGCCTACATCCCTGGACATAGACGGGGAGTGATGTAATGATTGTAACGAGATCAGCCAGGTGGACCTCACATAATATGAGTTCCCTGATTGGGGGTGTTAATTTGGTCCCATCAGGGAGCCCTGGCTGACAGATAAGAACAGGAGGGTCAGGCGTTCTGTTCACTCTGAGAGCTGGCTCTGAGGAAGCCGGACCAATATCAAGTACTAAGCACATATTACTAAAGGGTGGCTTGCTGACGTGATAAAAGACTCTGTGGAGTTATTTCAAATCTGTAGATGCGTACTCTGTAAAAATACAAGATGAATTTGTGCAAGCCTGTGAACTTGGCTGATGACTCATAGTGTGTGCTTCAGTGGTCATGTGATTTACCTCTTAAAGAGATACTGTCCCAGCATAACATACACCAACTATAATACATAACCTTAGCTTTAGTTGACTTTTATTTTACTTATTTTAACCTTACTTGGTAGTATTAACAATAAGCTGGAGCTTAGTAGAAAACAGAAATTCTTCGCAGCTCACCCATCACTCACAAATTAGCTCTCTCTCCTGTGCCTGTAAGTTGCTAACTTGCCTATATTAGTTTAGAATTTCAATGTTTTTCAAAATTATGGAGTTGAAACACCGTCCCTAATGCAGCTGCTGAACAACCAAACAACTCATGTCTTTCCTGTGCTGTTATTTTTAGACATTTTTTACAAACTCAGCAGAGCTCCACAGATACATGCTCTTTCACAGAGCTGACTCTTCTTGTCCCTCTGAAGGAACTGAAAGGCCCTGAACCTCAAACTCTCTTTATCTGTAGCCCTAGACGTGTGCTCTCTTGTAGGTCCAACTCTTCCTGCCTCCGAGAGGTAAAAGAGAGAGGCTCAGAACCTTGGCCTCAATTTATTTGGGTCCCAGATGTGTGATCCCTCACACATCGGACCCTTCTCACCTTGGAAGCGAAGTGAAAGACCTTGAGTCATGGCCTCTCTTTATCTGCAGTTCAGATGCATGCTTTCTTACAGGCGTACCCTTCTCATCCCTGGGAGGTAAGTGGAAACTTGGGTGTAATACATTCACAGGTTCTCCTTTATCCAGAGCACATGTTATTTGTTGAAAGAATTCCAATAATTTGGTTGAATATGATTTCTCTTTCCCAAAATCATGCTCGACTCTTGTTGTTTACCTTGAGGTTTCTAAATGCCCTACTAACTCCCCTCAATGAACATTTCTAACACTTTTTCTATGACAGATATCAACCTAAATGGCCTATTGTTTCATGTTTTCTGCCTCGTTCCCTTCCTGAATAGAAGGGTTACACTTGGTACTCCTCAGACTGATGGAAACTTTCCACAACCCAGTGAATTTTGGAAATTGAATGTCAGTACGTCTACTACTTCACTAGCCATCTCTTTTAAGACTCTAAGGTAAAATCTACCAGCATCTGAGGATTAGTTAGCCCATAGCTCCATCAGTTTGCTCAGTATCACTTCTCTGGTGATTGTAATTTCACCAGGTTCCTCTCTCCTTTCCACCTCATTTACACCTATTGCTGGAGTACTTTTTATAGCATCTGTGATGAAGGGCAGAAGTCACACGATACCAGTTAATAGTTTAACAGGTTTTTCAAAATTGCAAGCTTTTCTAGCGCTGCTCCTTTGTCAGGCAAAGCCAGGCCAACAATGGCACCTCCACATCAACTAAAATGAAGACAACTGGAAAATACATGTTCATCTCATCTGTGCAGAGATAGTAGGAACTGCCGATGCTGGACAATCTGAGATAACAAGGTGTAGAGCTGGATGAACATAGCAGGCCAAGCAGCATCAGAGGAGTAGGAAAGCTGACATTTCGGGTCTGGACCCTTCTTCAGAAAAGGGTCCAGACCTGAAACGTTAGCTTTCCTGCTCCTCTGATGCTGCTTGGCCTGCTGTGTTCATCCAGCTCTACACCCTGTTATCTCTCCATTTCATCTGTATTTCCTTATATCTGCAATTAACTCCCCATTTGCACCCTTTCAAAGTCTACTTTCACTTTACCTATTTAAATGCCTGTAGAAACTCCTGCTCTGCATTTTTTATGTTTCTAGTTAGCTTCCTCTCTCACTTTAATTTCTTTCTCCTGATTAATCTTTTAGTCATTTTCTGCAGTTCGTTATTTTCTGTCCTGTGTTCTGTCCTTTGAGCAATCATAATCTTAGTTACTTCACCAATGGTGGCCATGCCTTCAATTTCTCAGCCTCATTACTCTGCAACTCCCACTCAGCACCTTTCTGCCTCTCTACTTCTTTTTCTCATTATACCGTACTTATTCAAGGCACTCCTTAAAACTTAACTCATTCTCCATGCTTTTCGCCAATGATGTAATACTTGCTTATGTGGTTTAGTGTCACAATTTGAGGCTGCAACGAAAATTTTAGGTTAAATGCACCATACAAATATGAAATGGTGTTGGATAAACACTTTGGTCTCTCTCAGTCTTTCTTCTCTCTTTAAAGTTTTCGTGAATGATCCAAAATACCTTTTCAATCTGTTTTGCCAACATGCACTTTTTTTTGCTAAGTTTTGGTTGAAATAAAATGTAGGTCAAGGGCTGCCTCTGATACTAGTCCAGGGGCTTGATACATTCAATCAGCCAATCAGGGCAGTCAGAATGAAGATCCTT